ACTTTAGCATATATATACTATTTTCATAAATGAAGTCCCCATCTCCAGTTTGAATCCTAAGTATTCTTAGTATCTTCCACCTGGTCATTCTCTTTTTTAAACTTCTTCAGTTTCCCACTCACAAAGGGGACATGGAAATAAGGAGAAACAACACTGGAAACGAAACTGCTTAAAACCTCACATACAACCTGGCAGCATCATTACACGGTCACTCTGAGCACAGCCCGATTTTCCAGGTTTAAGGAAACAGTGCAGACAGGTGCAGCTGGTGACGAGAGGTTAACACACAGACTGAGGCTTTTCCCGGATTCTCCGCTTGATGATATTTTCACTAGATCGCACTATCCTCAAAAAACAACAAAACGATTCTATTTGAGGGGAGCCTTTTAATGGTAAAAAATCAAAGTTTCCGTAGTGCCTTTTACAGGGAGGAAAAAAAACACACACAAAAAAATCTGTCTGGAAAGAGATTACAGATTAATTTGAGAAAGAATGAGATAAAGTAACTTTTTATGTGACAGCTGTACATCAAAACTCCAAAGGTCACAGAGAAATAAGAGCTGTTTCCAATAATAATATGCTACTGGACATTTTATTAAAAGAAAAAGGACAATGGGGAATGTTCAATTTGACCTTCCTTTTTATTAAAAAAAAAAAATACCTGGGCTTCCCTGGTGGCGCAGTGGTTGAGAGTCCGCCTGCCGATGCAGGGGACACGGGTTCGTGCCCTGGTCCCGGAAGATCCCACATGCCGCGGAGCGGCTGGGCCCGTGGGCCGTGGCCACTGAGCCCGCGCGTCCGGAGCCTGTGCTCCGCAACGGGAGAGGCCACAACAGTGAGAGGCCCGTGTACCGCAAAAAAAAATAAAATAAAATAAAATAAAATACCTGCACTTAAATTATAACCACCTAATTCTTTAAAATTGAAACCACCTACACATGAACTTCAAGAGTGAGACAGCAGATGGTATTATTTATGTGGGAAGTCACTTCAGACTCTTAACACATTATTCTCCCCTAACAACGGGCTGTGCAAAGATACACAGAAATAGGAGACGATTAACTATTACCTCTATGCTGTCACTTCCAAGCACTTCTCCTCAGGGTTGCTCTCTCCCCACAGCGTGAATTCCAGCTTTGAAACGCCGGATGGGCACTTCTCCACCCTCCTGTCGTCCCAGGTCCACAACGCCAGGACCGGTGAGCTCTCTCACCCCTGACCCAGACTCCTGCACATCTCCTGACTCTTTGAGCGTCTTCACTGAGAAACCCTTTATGATCACCAAGAGCAGGCAACCTAAAGACTGAGGAAACTGAGGCCTAGAGAAGTGAAGGACGTGCCCAGGTTTCACTGGGAAGCTGACAAGAGAACCAAGGCCTCTGAAACTCCAGCTCCCGCACTTCTTCTTCTGCACCCAAACCTCATCTCACCAACCTGAAGCAGCGGGACCTCACAGGAACAGCAGCAGACTAGGAGTTGGGACCTCAGACGTAAGCTCTGGAAAGCCATGTCCTCATCTGTAAAGGCAGCAGGCGGTACCGGCGCCATCATGTCCCCCCATCTGATCCCTCCCCACATCCAATTAGTTGCCAACTAGGCTGTCTTTCCTTTATAACCTTCCTTATCAATCCCTTCCTTTTCACCACCTTATCTACACCCTGATTGCTATACGTCATTCCTGGACACTGTGTCACCCTCTGTCTTTTATTTTAGCCACTCTAGTGGGTGTGAAGTGGTATCTCATATTAGGTTTGATTTGCATTTTCCTAACGTCTAATGACGTAGGGCATGTTTTCAAGTGTTCATTAGCCATTTGTATATCTTCTCTGGAGAAGTGCCTATGCAAATCCTTTACCCATTATCCAATTGGGTTGTCTTTTGATTACTGAGTTGTATGAGTTCTTTATATATTCTGGATACAAGCGCTATATCATATACATGATTTGCAAATACCTTCTCCTATTCTGAGGGTTGTCTTTTTACTTTCTTGCGGAAGACACAAGTTGTTAACTTTAGATGAAATCCAATTTACCTTTTTTTGGTCACTTATACTTCCCCTCATTCTTATACAGACCCACACAGTTTGGGAGAATACTGATTCCATGGAACCTGTCTTTGTTCTGGACATGAAGACACACGGTAGCTGAAATTGCCTATATGGTTTTGGCTGCCCAACTTTTTTCTGAGATTTTACTTCTTAACCCTATTAAAGACTTAAAAGAGACTAATTTAGGAAAAGCTAACTACTGGTAACAGAATTAACCCAAAAGAAAAGTAATGTAGCAAATCTTAATGTGGTTATAGACCTTACTGAAAATAAATGCTTCTAGCATTTTCACAAAAGAGGAACTACAATGCTATCTTCTTTTTAAAATAAATTTATTTATTTATTTTTGGCTGCGTTGGGTCTTCATTGCTGCGCACAGACTTTCTCTAGTTGTGGCGAGCAGGGACTACTCTTTGTTGCTGGGTGCAGGCTTCTCATTGCAGTGGCTTCTCTTGCTGCACAGCACGGGCTCTAGGTGCACGGGCTTCAGTGGTTGTGGCACACGGGCTCAGTAGTTGTGGCGCACGGGCTTAGTTGCTCCGCGGCATGTGGGATCTTCCCAGACCAGGGCTCGAACCCATGTCCCCTGCATCGGCAGGCGGATTCTTAACCACTGCCCCACCAGGCAAGTCCCTACAATGCTATCTTGAACTTACCAGTTATAATGTTTCGGGTTGAATTGTGTCCCCCCAAAAGATACGCTTAAGTCCTAAACCCTGGTACCTGTGAATGTGACCTTACCTGGAAACAGGTCTTTGCAGATGTCCTGCCAAAGATGTACTGCTTGACTCTCATCTAAGAGCCAAGAAGCAAGTCCTGAAACATATTCTTCCATCACTGCCCTCAAAAGAAACCAACGCTGCCAACACCTGGATCTCAGACTTTGAGACTCCAGAACTATGAGAAAATGTTTCTGTTATTTAAACCACTCACTCTGTGGCACTCTGTTACACAGCCTTAGTAAACTAACACAATAACGAAGATAAGAAAGGTGTCTCTGACTAAACACACAACAGGGGGAAGCACTGAGAAAAGCCAGACAGTGGTGGCAACAAGAAGTCCTTCTCTAGTGTTCTCCTTAAAATATGTCTGTCAAACTGTCTGAAAATAAACTATCTTCTCTGCAGGAACAATGAGGAAAAGGAGAGGAGCAGAGCCTGTACTCTTGGAGGAACTAATCAGATCACATCTCCTTTGCTCAAAAGCCTCCAAAGACTTCCTCATTCAGAGTAAAAGCTGAAGCCCCTACAGCATAAGTAAGGCCCTTCAGGACAGGGTCTCCTGCCACCTCTGATCTCTGGCTTTCTCTCCCCACACCCACCCCTCAAGCAAGTCTGCATGCTTCTGCCTCAGACTTTTGCACCTGTCCTTCTCCAGATCCCCTCGGGTCACTAGGGCTTTGCTCACAGGTCCCCACCTGGGCGAGGTCTCCCCAGGTCACCCTATCCAAGTGCAAAATCCTCCCCTTCCGGCTGAGCCAGCATTCCTTATCACCGGCCCCCACCTCGCCACAGTTCAACAAGAAGGGAGAACTTGTTTTTCCCCAAGGCACGTCTCACCGTCTGAAATGCTGTGCATTTTACTTGTTGACTGTCCGACTGCCTCCCAGCCTAGTTCAGGGACTCAGTGAATGCAGAGATTTCAGCGTGTCCACTGCTGAATCCTAATCACCTAGTCAGCGTTCAATAAACATTTTTTAATGAATGCATTTGCGCAATCTTCCTCACTGGGCTGAGATTAAGAGTAAGTGCCTCTTCAGAGTCTACACCCTCCTTTTTTTTTTTTTTTTTTTTTTAAAATATGGCTCCTACCTTCTGTCAGAGACTCAGAAAGACAAGTAAAAGTCCCCAAGCACCCCTTTGCCTCTGTGTGCTGATTAGAAACCTGGGCACAGGTTAGTGTCTCTGGCCCACGTCTTCTTGTCCTTTCGGGACCCTCCACTCCCAGACAGGAACTTGAGGGGGCCTGGAGATTTCCGTGGGAAGTCAAGCCTACAAGGTAGTAGTGTTGGTGCCTGTCAGCTGGGAATCCTGACCTTCTCGGCCCTCCACAGAGTAACATGTCCTACAACTTCATAAATGAAGCACCGGGCAAACTGTAGGGAGGTGGGAGCCAACTTCAGACCTTGATTATTCCTCAGTATCAAAGCCTGGATAACCAACTCTTTATTTGAAGAGAAATAAACAGGAAAAAATTATAGAACATATTTATGTACATTTTTAAATCTACAAGAGTAGAGGAGGAAAGATGTTCACAATACAAATGTTTAACTAAAGGAGGGACTTTACTGGCGGTCCAGTGGTTAAGAATCTGCCTTCCAATGCAGGGGACGCGGGTTCAATCCCTGGTTGGGGAACTAAGATCCCATGTGCCAAGGGACAACTAAGCTCACGTGCTCTGGAGCCCACGCACCACAAGCAGAGAGAAGCCCACGTGCCGCAATGAAAGACCCCGCATGCCGCCACTGAGACCCAACGCAGCCAAATAAATAAATAAATATTTTAAAAAATAATAATAAATAAAAATATAAAGGAAAAGGTTAAGTAAATTATGAAACATCAACTCACGAAAGTCATTCAAATCACTATCAAGATTATGTTCCAATACAGAAATATCAATGAATATTAAGATTAAATTTTAATATGAGAAAAAATTATGAAACCATGTTTAGTTTAAAAACAGAACAGAAGCAATATGTACTCACTGACTAATATTCTAACAATTATGACTACAGATGAATAAAGTTTATAAGGGAACACAGAACTACAAACAAAGATTTTTATTAGGATGAAATTACACTTACTTTCTCTTATGTTGTTACACCATTATTTAAACAAATCTGAAATATTTAAATATATGCTCATACTTGTCAAAGCTCTGACAGGAGAGAGAAGGCTGGAGATAGACCTAAACCTTTAGTACGTCTACGTGAAGAAAACAAACTGGTTCTTACCCTTGTGCCTCTTCAGCTGGGGGAAGCTGCTAATTGTAGTTGCTTGGATTATTTCCACTACAATTTGATACCTGAGTTTTAAAAAGAGAAAACAAGAAAAGATTGAATAGGAAAAAAGTACTATTTTCAGAGATGCGTTTAGACTGTATTTGTACTAATCAACTATAACACTGTGAATCCTGCCCAAGTGTCATTAAGCCACCCAACATGGATGAAGTCGTTGGTCCGGGTGCTGGGCCATGTGCTACGCATTTCTGAGACCGGAATGTAAGAGTTGTGAATGTACTTCCCCCACTCCATTCCCTGTACGGATGCACTCCCACCTGGCCCCTCAATGAAGAGGGAAGCCTTGAGGTTATGATCAGCTGCTCCCTCTCCCCCACCCCCACCTCTGCTCTCCTCCCTGCTACCAGTAACCAGAGCCTACTGATTCTACCTCCTAGGCCTGCACTGTCCAGTGAAGTGGCCACGAGCCACGGGGGCTACTTAAGTTAAACCACAATTGTAGTTCCTCAGTTGCACCAGCCGCATTTCAAGTGCTCAGTCACCTCATGGACCTCATGGACCACGGTGGACCGTGCAAAGAGAACACTTCCATCACTGCGGAAAGTTCCACTGGATGGTACTGTCCTACACACTTCTCAAAGCTGTCCTTTCCCCTCCAGTCCCACTGTCACCATCTTCGTGATTTCCTGCATTACTCCTCACTTAGAAGAGCATTCCAGACGAACAGATTCAAAGCATTTGCAGTGGGACTCCGGTGTCAACAGTGTCTAAGCTCCCCAGGTCATTCCCACACACAGAGAGAGCTGACAGCCACCAGAGCAGAACACCAGGAAGATGTACATGTGACTGAGGTCACCTCTGTGTGAGGAAAAAGAAAAGCTTACATTTTTAGTGCCAAGTACAACCCTAGAATTGTGGCTATTTTGAGCATATTCAAGTCAGGTGAGTTATGACCCCAAGTCCTTAAGTGCTATTTAATTATTATTAAGTATTGCCCTAACCAAGCTTATCTATCCTGAGTGTTTCTTAGCCCTTAATTATGTTGACTGATTAAGAATCTGCCTATAATAAAGCTATTTAACATTAACTCTTTATCTGAACACAAACTTTGCAGCATTCTAAGATTTAATGCTACATTTGGTTGGCTTTTAGAACACAAGATATGTTCTTTTGCTTTTCAACTAAAACCCAGATGACAGACGTGAATTCATCTGTCACAGCTATTCATGGACACCTCACAACTTTACATCTTTTTGTTTCTTCACTTGTGCGGTAAGAATATCGATGCCCGCTCTCACCACCTCAGAGAACAGGCTGTCAGGGGCACTGCCGGCGGTCACCTGGAGACTCTGGCAGACTGCTGGTTGCTAACACCCTTCCCTCTCTTTTTTCCCCGCTAACCGGACCACATTTATGGGGGAAAGCAATGCACCCAGCTCAAAACGCTAACCTTCTCCCTAGCAGTTAGGGACAGCCATCTGATATAGTTCTAGCCTGTGAGATATGAGCAGAACTTGCCGGGAGGGGATTCCAGGAAGGTTTTTTAAAGGGGCAGACTCCATGGAAAAGCCCTTTCAGTCTTCTGTCCTTGTCCTTCCTCAATTTTCCTCCATGGAACAAGGATGCAGCTGGATGAAAGCACAGAAGCCATGAGGAGGAAAGCCACGTGGCGACGGGAGAAGACAGGAGGAGTTCAGGTGTCCAGTGACATCACTGAGCCATGAAAACAGCCCCAGCCTGTCCATCTCAGGACATCTTGTTATTGAGGAGAATAAATCCCTAACTTGTTTAAGTAACTGTGCGTCGATATGTCTCACGGCCAAATGCTGTCTGACTGAGAGACAGCTCTCTGAAGTCTCCATCCATAGAGAAGTTATCTCCAGGCTGAACACACACTCAGGCGATGTTCTCCAAAAGGAAGCCTTGCTAGGACATTAATGATCAATAAAGTTGTCTGATGGAACTGCCTTCATTCCTCCATTAATGGTAAAACACAAAAGTAGCTTTTCACGTGATTTTTCCTGCCAGTTATGAACAGATGAGGAAACAGCTTATAAGAAGCATACACAAACCTGGAATCATCAAACACTCCTTAACCAAGTCTTTAATTTAACCTTGGACTTGGGTTCTCTAAGCAGAAAGCACTGACTTTTCACTCAACTCCAACACATGTCACCCAACTCCAAACATATGCTTGTTGCAGAAACTTCTACGAAGAAAAGCATGAGAATAGTCTATGTGGGCAATATGCTTTCACTAAACACACACTTTTTAAATCAGTTTCTAGACACACTGAAATGAACAACACCAATACGGTACCTGCTTTCAGAAAGCTCTGGGGATATATCAGACTAAGGGGAAAACGCTCAGCCTAGAGTATTTGAAAGGCTACATAAAAATAGATTTTAATGACACACTGATTCTAAAATGCAAAATGGCATGTACGCTTATGATGGCAGATACGTAAATATGTGGGTATGTGAACCAGGGCTACAACGCAAAACAGAGATAAAAATGAAGGGCATCCGTATTAAAATGGTAGAATTATAAGTCATCTTAAAACTGTTCCCAAACTGCTTGTCTATCTTAGCCAGTTCAAAGAGACTTACCTTCTTGCCAGCACAGGAAGCTTTCTTTACACCAGCCTCATCACCCTTCTATCCTTTACGCTGCGATCTCATCATCTTCGATATCTGCCCTCCCATAAATATGAATCTCAAAGTCCTTTGAATCTTTAAATAAGTTCCTCTCCTCCTCTTCCTCTTGTCACCACCCTATTTCAGGCGTTCTCACCCGAGGGTCAGCTGCATTAGCTAAACGGTCTGTCTCCTTGATGTCAAGCTTTCTATCTCCCACCCAGCCCACTTCGAGCACCCCTGTCAAAACACCTTCCTCAAAGCCCACCCTCAGCTCCTCGACCCCCGCTCACCCCCTCCAGGGACCCCCCCCAGAGGAGGAAGCCTCCACTCCAGCCTCCCGCTCGCTCTGCACCTTGGCACTGGCCCCCTCACCCGACCCCCATATAAGCCTGGACTGAAGCCACGACCGTTTCCACACTGCTCTCCCCAGCCTGTAGTCACTTTCCAGGCTTTCACTCATGCTCTTTCCTTCTGAAAACCATCTCCCTTCTTGTCCACCTAATTAGATCTTACATATGCTATTTCTTCCCTCAAGTCATTCCCAATCCCCCTAATTCACATTAATATTTCTCCTTGCTGAAACCCTAAATTACTTCTGCCCTATAATAGTACCCATTTATCTACTATTTTATACTGTTATTTTAAAGAGTCACATTTCCACAAAGAGTGTTGTGAACGAAGAAAACGGTGTGTCCAGTGTGTTCAGGGCCTCACCTTTCTTTTTAAAATGGTCACACGTCTGAGCCTAAGACAAAATTGTGGCTTTGTCTATAAAAAAAGATATGCTACCTTTTTTTTCTCTCCAACTAGATCATGAGCCTCTTGAAGATAGGGATTGAGTCTTGGATTCTCCAACCGAACCTAGCTTGGCAGTAAATATTAATGAGTGCTAGGGACAGAATGTTTGTGTCCCCTGCAAAATTCATATGTGAAGCCTAATGCTCAGTGTGATGGTATTTGGAGGTGGGACCTTTGAAAGGTCATTAGGTCTCGAGGGTGGTACGTGCCCTTACAAAAGAGACCCCCCGCCAGAGAGCTCTCTCCACCGCATGAGGCCAGAGCAAGAAGACTGCTGTCTATAAACCAGGAAGCGGGCCCTCACCAGAAACCCAATTTGCCTACCAGAACCTTGATCTTGGACTCCCCAGCCTCCAGAAACTAGGAGAAATAACTGTTGTTTGAGCCTCCCATTCTATGGTATATTTGTGATAGCAGTCCGAACTGACTTATTAATGAGCTACATTAATAAGTGTTAACATCTGTAACACTTAACAGACACACGTAACATTCTGAACCATCTGTTCTTTCGATACTCTTAGTGATTCACACTCTGTGACAAATAAGTCATCAATGGTACTGAAGAAAACACACGCCGTCTGAGAAAGAGGTAAAATGTTCAAACAAATCCATAAAATTATAAAGTAACACCACCTAACAGAGTCCTTTCATCAGGTACCAGGTACCTGATTAGACAATTACAGTATCTCATTTAATCCTCACAAGGTGCTGTAATTAACCCCACATTACAGAGGAAGAGATTAGAGTGCAGGTGTACGAAGAAGTCTATACAACGTCTCACTGCTTTTAAGTACAACAGCCAAAATTACAACCTAGGGCTTGATTCTGAAGCTCACGTTCTTAACCATTTTCTGGTTGCCCTAAAATTCAACATAGGTTAGTGTTTATCTTGTCTAAGGCCCTTCAAAGCACATCAGCATGGCCAAGGCCAGACCATCTCTCCAGCCGTACTGCCTTCCATATCCCTCTTGGATACATACCATTTTCTGGCCAAACCAGACCATGTGCAACACCACAAACGCAACGCAGCTCTTTCCTGCCTCCCAGCCTTTGCTCCCCTTCTTCTCCCTCTCACACGCAGCCTCCCCCCTCACCTGCTGAAATCCTGTTCACTCCCAAACACCCAGGCCTCGTAGATTCCTCTTGGCTACAGGATGAAAGATTTGCTCCTACCCACTTCTTCAGCTGTTCACACTCTACTTCTGGCCTACCTTGCTTCATATTTAGCTATTTACACCCACAGGGGTCTCCTACACTGAACAAGGAACACCTTGATGGCAGGGAAAGAATCCAAAGATCCGCAAGCGATTCATCTTTACAAATACCAGGCCCTCCTCACACGGTGCTTTGTGCACAGGAGGCGTCTGGAGATGATTACTGAACCTGTAGAATTCACTTTCACTTGATACCAAGAGGCAAAGTAGGAAATGAGAGACTTTCTCATTCTCAACAAAACCATGCAGCACATACATCCAAATGCTGGCCATCCTTGACGGCACAGGCTTTTTAGTCACCTGGGGGGTATTCGGGGGCACCCGGCACTCACCTGGCCTTCCTCCTCCAGAGGCGGACATGGCCTAGCTGGTGCCAAGGGAGGTTCTACAATCAGGAGGACTAATATTTGTCAACATGCTCTTGATCAGAAAAGCAGAGACTGTTAGTACGTTCTTCCAAAATGACGTTGTAAACTCAAGTTTTAGGAGGAAGCAGCGGACCAAGAATTCAACTCTTTTCCAATTCTGGCAAGATCCTACCCAGAGCACCCCTTGTCTCTGGATAACGAAAACGTCACACACAGCTAGCTGCCAAATGTCCCTCTGAGCTGCCACCTCGCCTCTCTTTAGTTTTATACACTTTGCTAAATTAACAGACTTGGAAGAAGACTGTTTTGATGAACTCTTCCCACAACGTTAATCTCACCTGAATGCTACACAGTCCTTCAAAGTAATCACCTTAGAAATCAACACCTTTTACTGTCAAATGTTCAGAACAGCTTTGGGATGCTATTAGAACTGATTTCAAAGTTACTTAGAAGCCAAACCAAAAAAATTAGTCTTGTCATCTCATCAGGCACACCTTTTAAGTGTTACTTTAGAGTTGTCTTGGGTGTGCACATGCTGGAATGTCTCAGGGGAGTCAAAGGCTGGACAAACCCTAGTCTAAGTGTACCATATGGTAAATGGTTTAAAATACCGTTTTATATCAAAATTTGCAAGGATCTATTATGGAACAGAATACCATATACACACAAATGTTTAAGAAAAAATCAGGAATTTAAAAATAATGTTTCAGAGTTGCCACAGGCTACTTTGTACTAGGCTAGGGATAATGTTTTCATTAAAGAGACTTGGATTAAAGTGTTTAAGAAATGAAACCATGGTGACTTCCGCTAGCTAAGCTGGAGCTGCTTCCCACATCCACAAAACTACTGACAAGGTCTGCTGGGTTATTTAGGGAGTGGGTCAGAGTAGCTAAGAATGTGAGCTCTGGAACCAGATGGCCTGTGTTCAAATGCTGCTTTCGACACTTACTGTGTCACCCTGGGAAAATTATTCAAGCTTTTTAAAACTGAAGAGTCGTCATCTGCAAGAAGCGGAATAACAGCATTTTTCCTCCTAGGGTTGCTATGAAGACTACATGAGAGAACACCTTTACAATATCTGGAACAGCACCTGCCCTCAGTGAGAGTTTAATGACCGTTAACAATTATTGTTCCCTAACACTGCTGCTGACTCTTCAGATATGTGCAATTTAGGGAGATGGTATGTGTGTGTGCTTGTAAAATATATATAAAAGCCATTTTAAGTAACCTTACTTTTTTTCCGGACCATAATAGTGTCTCAGCCTGATCAATCGAAGACCACCAGGGTCACTGTAGTCCAACAGCCTCAGGTTTACTGACCCACTGCCATCAGCAAGAGGAACCATGGGACATCTCCCCAAACAAAGAAAAAGATAAAGTTACTACTGGATTCTGGGGAAGGGTGGGGTGTGGATGAACTTTAAATGAAGCAGCATTGTGACAGGCTCAAAGCGGGGCTTGTAAAGGGGTCAATTTCAGATGGATATAGGGTCCCACTGCCTTGGAAACTACAAAGTTAGGATGAATGTGGGATGCTGAGTCCAGAAACCCCTTATCTGCAGCTCTGCCTCTGGATTAAAATGAGACTGCTTCTCTGTGTCAAAGTGACTGAAATCCTCCAGGCAAGAAGAGGATGTGTCATTCCCACTGATATAATTTCACACAGCAAAGTTTCTGATAGAATTTAGAGAGCAATGCTTCTCAGTGGATAAGAAAGCAGTAGTCACTAAGCGAGGAGAATCATTATGACATTTTACAGCCACTGAATATATTTGGAAAAAGTATTGTTTCCTGTTACCTGGGTGGCTGGTTTTAGTGTCTGTTATCCCAGCCTGATAAACAGACTGGCAGATTTTACTTTCTCAGTCCGAGCCCATTTTTACTTTCTCTAAAGTAACATGTGCTCTTCCAAGAAAATGGGAAAATACACAAAGCACAACATTCAAAGTTAACTACTATTAACATTTGGTATATCTTTATAAACTTTTTTCTATGCAAACACATTTTTTTTTGTTTTATAAGATGAAATTTATGTTAATAAATACTGGCTTAGAGCCTTTTTAATTTATAAATGTATAGTTACTATCTTCCAATATTACTAAATATTCTGATGCAACCTCATTGTTACATGGCAATCCATTGTATAGATGAGCCAAAACCTTTTAGACCAAACCCTTATTGTTAGACATTTTAATTATTTAGAGCTTTTCTCTATTTTAAATAAAATTACAAGAAACATTCTTGGAAAAATCTTTCCATGTAATCATGGTTATTTTCTTAAGATAAATTCTTATGAACAATGAATGTATCAAAAAGTGCACACTTTGTATCACAAAAGTGTATCACAAAATGCACACTTTGTGACCTTTGTTCAGATTATAAAAACTGCAACAGAAAGGCCATAATTTCTACTCCTACCAGCAGGACATGAAGTTGCCTATCTTCCTACACTCTTGATAACACTAGGTGTTAAATTTTTAATCTTCACCAATATTATGAACAAAGAAAAGTATATTATTTTAGCTTTTATGTCTGAGTACTACTAAGGATAACAGCAAGGTCCTGAGCTATCTTTTCAGGAGGCATATTTAATGGTATTAAACAGGAAGTGGCCGGAGCTGTAACACAAGCAGGGGAAACATTTTCAGTTAGGGCTCAGAGGAGTAAGAGGCACTTTCCGCTAAAGGGGCTTTTAAACCTGTTTTCCACTTTTCTAGCGTGCAGAGGGCAGCCGATTTCACAGAGAGTCTAAGGCACGTTTCCCAGCCTTTTTCCATTCGTGGCACACATAGCAAGTGACAATATCTGATCAGGACACTGGGGCGAACAGCCATCCCAGGCCCTACCCAGCTACCTCGTGGGTTTAAGAGACCAGTCATCTCTGAACACCCATGCACTGTATCTGAGTTACACCAGCTAGAAAAGTTCTGCACCAGAGCAGCCTGAGGAATCCTGAGTGCATGCAAACACACACACACACACACACACACACACACACACAGGATTCATGTTATATATACAGAAAATAATCTGGAAATATATATACACCAAGTATTCACAGTTTTTATCTGTCTGCAATAAGTGATTTCTATTTTCCTGATCTTGTTTATATCTTTTTATCTTCCTAAAATAACTACCATATATTCATTTTCTAGTTCCCTGAGCCTACAAAAATTACACGTTACAGAAGCGGCCAAAGCTTTGTCACCACAGGCCAGCTGGTGCCCTTTAGCTAACCTCAAGAAAGCCAAAGTTTTCTCTCTGTTGTCTGTATCTAGTTTCTACTTGTGTTCCTCATATTTTTACATCAGCTATTAATATAGTTACCAAGTATTTACGGATGTGTGTTTAGCACCACGGCAGTATCTTCCACTCCCAGCCCTTATTACCTAAAGCATTTTCATTTAGAACGGCTACTCAATATCATCTTCAGTTGCCTCGTTTTAAGCTCCATATCTAAAGTGTCCTAATGACTTCTTACACATTTTCTTTTGGTTTTTTTTTGCGGTACGCGGGCCTCCCACTGTTGTGGCCTCTCCCGTTGTGAAGTACAGGCTCCGGACGCGCAGGCTCAGCGGCCATGGCTCACGGGCCCAGCCGCTCCGCGGCACGTGGGATCCTCCCGGACCGGGGCACGAACCCGTGTCCCCTGCATCAGCAGGCGGACTCTCAACCACTGCGCCACCTGGGAAGCCCTTCTTATACATTTTGAACAAAGTTTTTCTGAAAGAAGATATTGTCGTCTCGGCTCACCCATTAACCCCGCTCAAGTCGGGGCCTGAGCGTGTTCTAGCCTGCTCCCGACAGCTGGAACTTTTTTCAGCTCTTACTGGGAGCCTGGATGTCCCAGATTACATGCATCATCTCATTTAATTATCACAACAACCCTATGAAGTAGGAGCTATTTTCTCTGTTTCACAGTTAAAACTGAGGCTCAGAGTGTAAATGACTTGCCTCAGACCATGCACTCTGCAAGCAGTGAAGCCACAGTGCAAACCAGGTCTGTGAAATCCAGGCCTGCCGGACCCTTGAGCCTGTGTTCGTGGCCAGGGTCTGCCTTGGTGCTGCACCGGTCACTACAGGTTGACTTCTTGTGCTGCGAATGCTCCTCGGCCTCTAGAAGAGCTGCATTTCTGTCAAGCGCTGGGGAATCACAAGACAGAGCGCACGTTGCTGCTACTCAGTGCTGGGCTGAAGTCAGCCTGCGAGGCCTATGCCGGCTCAGGAGAGCTGGCTGTTGCATTTCAGCAATTAAACCCATCATTATTAAAATTAAATTACACAAACCTACTGTTTTTTAAAAGTAAAAGTACTCAAAACTCATCGTTGGGCTTCCCTGGTGGCACAGTGGTTGAGAGTCCGCCTGCCCATGCAGGGGACACGGGTTCGTGCCCCAGTCCGGGAGGATCCCACATGCCGCGGAGCTGCTGGGCCCGTGAGCCATGGCCGCTGAGCCTGCGCGTCCGGAGCCTGTGCTCCACAACGAGAGAGGCCACAACAGTGAGAGGCCCGCGTACCACAAAAAAAAAGAACAAAAACAGAACTCATCGTTTCCTAATAATTTCATTCATTTTACTATTACCTATGTTCGAGGTTATTTACATCCATTCCACCACCCTTCACTACCATCCTTCCATCAGCCTTCATTACCTTTTTTTTTTTTGGCTGCACCAGGTCTTAGTTGCAGCACACGGGATCTTTGTTGAGGCACGCAGGCTCACAGTTGCGGCATGCGGGCTCACAGGTGAGGCATGCGGGCTCCTTAGTTGAGGCATGCAAACTCTTAGTTGCAGCACGCGTGTGGGATCTAGTTCCCCGAGCAGGGATCTAACCCGGGCCCCCTGCATTGGGAGCGCGGAAACTTACCCACTGGACCGCCAGGGAAGTCTCCAGCCTTCTCTACTTGTGAACCATAAAGTTCTTTTCTGTTGAGGAGGCACTCAGCACAATTTTTGTCTTTGTTTTTTAAAGAAACAAGCAGTACCTATTGACCTCCCCCCTCCCTCAACTCTTCATGTTTTAAGTCCCAGAAGCACCATCTCTGGCCTCCCTCCACCTCTCACTCATTCCTCTCCTCTCCTCCCCAGAGAGGAATAAGCTCTTAATCTGATCGCAGAGGAGGAACTGGGCCTGTGAAGCACAGCCCTTCGGTTCCCCTTCCTCTTAAGGGCGTGTGTTCTCTGCCTCCAAAGGGCAGCCAGCAAGCAGACTGCACCTACCAGGGAGACGGAAGGAGGGAGCAGCGGGGACAAGGAGAGGGATTCCGACCCAGCAGTGACAGGTGGGAAAGAATGTCTAATCGTGAAACTCAGTTTTAGAGAGCGCACTGCCTGCATATATAAACTACATTGTCCAGGATCTCCAGTAATAAGAGTGACACTGTGGTCTTCATTTGCCTTATTTCTTGGCCCTAAGATGGGTCAGCCTTTAGGGTGGAGAGAGGACCACTGCTATTCATTAGGCCTCCTCAAACCCCAAGATGAAACACTGCATCCCAGTGGGCCATTAGGAACCGCCCAGTCTTCCCAAGGAAACTAAATCTATTTGTGATCCTTAGTCTAATGATCATAAACAGTAACAATAATAGTGTCAGCTAACAATTAGGAACATGCAGGTCCTGGGCCAAGTGCTTTACATGAACTGACCTGTGGTCCTAAATGTCGCTCAGAAAGCAGGTAACACTCTACCCACACCTAACACGGCACCAGTGCTGTTCCAAACACAAGCACGTAATGTATTCTTTAATTTCAGAGACATCATAAACTTCTTCATACCAAGATTCCCCTTCTCATATCAAATTTTACATTGCTGCCAACACTTAATTGTCTTTCCTCCTAAATGAAAATAATGTGTGTTCTTGGGTATGTTTAACTCCCACCCCTCTGTGTCCTCTGCTATTTCTCAGACACTAGCAGCAGTTATATTCTAAAGTCAATGTACTTTTATTTTTCATAAAGCTGAAAGATATTTTAGAACACTTTTCATAGGCAGCCTCACATTTTAATGTTTTTTTTAAACTAAATTTATATTCATTTATTCTTTTCATAAAAATTTGCCAGGCTTCTGTTTTACACTTACGAATTTCCATCTCCCTGTCCACCCACACGAGCCTTCCTCAGCAGTTCACACGTGCTCAGTGATTTCTTACACGCTGCAGCAGGTTGTCTTAGGTATGCTTGATTTCTTTTTTCTTGTTCCTTTACAATGTAATCCTATTTTACTGCAAGATTCACATTTTCAGAATCACTGTTCAAAACACTGCACATTCAACTAATTTAAATTCTTCTACACAGAAGCATGCAATTTTAAGAATTTTAATACTTTTAATATTATCCTCATGTGCAAATGCACCG